CCTCTTTACACCTAGTGTAGTAATTTAAACCCGTGAAGACCAGACAGGCCTGCAAAGTGCTATCCAGGTAGAATGCTTGGTGTGGGTTTTTTCCCACCTGCTTCGCACAGATGCAAGGGACATCACCAGGTGTGAGATAATGGAAGATCAACTGTGGTAAAAATGAGCACATGTGAGAAGCTTTAAGTGAAAACCAATGAAATAACCTATTTTAACAGTACAACTTATCTCTCTTTTTGCAAAGTTTAAATGCTGTTTCGATGCCACTGGAGAAAATGGTTCGAGATGGTTACCCCGAGGGCAATCCTGCTTTTGAAGGTCCTACCTGACCTTGGTTTGGTAATGGTTCAAGTAACAATCCTACTATTCAAGCAAGCTGGAGTTAGGAAGAATGAAAAAAAGGTATAAACACCACGCTGGTGGGGAATTCCACCGGAACAAATAAGGCCCTCGTCCAGGGAAGCACTTATTTTTAAGCATATGAATAGTGCCTTACAGTCCAATGGAACTTCTCCCACGCCTGAAGCTGAGCATGTTCTTAAATGCTTAGTCAAACTGGGCCCCAGGTCCTGAAATAAAACCTTGTTTTATGTGATCCTGTATTGTAACTAATGTAACTTACTGTTGTGACAAGAACCCATATTTTTGGTATTAAACTGAATGACTTCCTTTGCCAGCCTTTTACACGCGTATGTTTCGAAAGACATGAATATCTTGTAAACCTATACTAGTTTTCAATGTGTCTAGTAGCACCTACCTGGTTCTCTCAAACTACCATATTATATTAACATATTATTGCATTTTTCCACAGATGGGTATGGAGTGAACTGTAAAAACAAGCATGCAATCACATCAATGCAGACTTATTTCTTTAAAATGTCATACTGTATATGATTTATTATGTTAACACTCAACCACATCATATTATTTATGTCTGTATATTTTGAAAAAAAGTGCTGCTTTGATTGACGTCACCCTTTTTTCTTAGAAATCAACAAGATAAATGTTTCAACAAAAACAATTAAAATACTCTAATATTGTCCTTAAAAGGTTTATACTCTTCTGATAAATAATCTGACACAGCACCTTTAGCTTCCATTTCACCATACTACATGATGTCATATTCCAAACTCTCCCTTCCCCACACAAAAATAAAATCCCAGGAGAAAGTCCTTCACAGCAGACCATCATGCTTTTAGGCTTCACAAGTCCAGCAACCAGAGAGAAATACTCTTTTGTCAAAGGTGCAAAACTCAGGAGCAAGACAAGCTCTGGCTAGACTAACTTGCGCTCTCCAGTGTAGAACCATTTCCAAGAGCTGTTGTGGCAACCTTTTTATTTCATTGGAAGAGGAAATAAGCCGATGGGCTTACAGTGTTTTGTTGTCATATTTAAGAGCATGTGATTTTTCAGCTGTCAATTACACAAAAAATTTCAGAAATAATCCAAACAGAGACTTTCACTGTGGAGCTAAAAGCATGGCAGGAATTCTCTATCATTCACGGTGACATAAGTTTGTACCTCACAAAATGCATAGACAGGAATTTAATATAAAGAATTAGTCCATTTACTGTATACACAAAACATATATCTTTTGTTTTAACACTTCTATTTTTTTCCTTTTTTTTTTTCTTTTTTCTTTTTTTTTTTTTTTGGCAAACCAACATAGAGAAGCAGCTCTGGAACTGCCAAATTAAAAACTGAGAATTTTAGCAACTCAATAGTATTTTTTAAGGATAGTAATCAAATGTGGTTGTAATTTAAAACCTGAGGCTGTGCACTGGTTGTTAGCTTAAAACTACCTTTCCATATAACATTGTGCTTCCATTGTATAACAAAGAAAAAATTAACAAGAACTAGAAAAGGTTGCTGCTGAACAGTGCTAGGACATACAGACAAAAAAATACTAATACATGTTATCTACTCAGAATATTGATTCGAGTCATATCTAAAGGGATATAATGGACATTAGAAAATGCTTACTTGTGACTGACTTAGCTACTGCCAAAAAAGTTAAATATGTATCAAATAATGTTTAATTGAATTTATTATATGCACTATATACAGATACTAAAATGCCTTGCAGTTGTGCCCCATGAACACTTCAAATTTGAGTAGGCAGGTGAGTTCATGTGAAGCAAATAAATTATAAAAACAGAAATTACTCAGAAAGATCTCTAATCTTCGCGATCCCGAAAAGCAGTAAAAGGGCAGGACAAATTTGTTTCAAACGAAGCACTATTATCTAACTTTGCAGAATCTGTATAGCTATTCAGCATGTTTTTACCACTGAAACATGGCACTGTTGTCAAGGTACCATTTAAAACATAACAAAACAAAGCAAACCAAACCAAACCAAATCAGTGGACTGATAGGTTTTTTGCACCAAATCCAAGCATACAAGAAACTATACTAAAAAGATTTCAGTTTGTGTTTCCTAGGGCATATGTTTCAAAAACAAGTTGCGCTTTGAATTATAGATAGACATGTATAAAACATTCTTTGTAAACTTCTAATCTTAGACTTAACATTTTATGTAAGTAAACTAGGTCCTTACCTAACAGTATTTGTTACGAATATTGTTCTATGATGTACTAGTAGGGACATGATAAAAGAAAACGGGAAAAGAAGAAAGCTGCGTAACATTTAAAAATGTAGAAAACTTGGATTAAGATGATGATTAACATTGTTAAGGCTGTATATTCAAGCACTGTATGTTAAGAGAGCAGTGGATATGAATTTTAGGCAATAAGAAATGTCCTGCTTTACGCATGATACTGTAATTATAGAATGATGATGTCAACAGCTGATTGTTGGCATAAACTGGCTACTTATAGCAGGTATGTGAGTTAATAAAGATAGCAGAAGATGGCAGAAATGAATTCTGAGAAATGATAGCCAGTTTTCTCCAGCAGTCAGCCTGATAAGTAAAACTCCAAGATTCTAGCTCTGCATCTAAATGAAATACTCTTTTTTCTCCTCTGCATTGACTTGGCTGCCTTCTGCATTGATAATGGCTGTGTCGGCATCAGGTGCATCTTCAGCTCCTTTTGCTTCATTTGTTAAATATGTTCCTGTAGGAATCAAGAGAACAGAAAAGAAGAAAAAAAAAGAAAGATTAGGGTTTTTTAGCTTTACACTGCATTATAGGAAGTACATTTCTAACAATGCTCCAATTGCTTCATGAATGGACAAATATTTTTACACAACTTTAGTAAACATCATACAGGTATGCTCAACTTTTTAATTTGTCTAAGTATTAATACTGATAATGCACATACACAAATTCAAGTATAGCCAGAATAAATTAAGAAAGTCTTTTAATAAAAATCCACTTCATCTAACTGCAGTAACATGCAATATAGTTTGCAATTATAGAATAAGTGATAAAATCTTGGTTATTTCATGGAACAGCTACCTGCCAAAAAAAAACCAAATTTGAAGACTTAGATATTAATAAATACTTATTTTTTAAAAAAACAGCCATTGATTATTTTTGTATTTTATTTTTTCATGATCGTATCTATACTTTCATTTTACAGAACTGTATCACAGTCATTTCCAGGAATTATAAAATTGAGATTGTTTTATTAACTGAACCCATTCACATTATAGTATCACAGATGTTTTTATGCTCAGAATATGAATAAAAAGAATTGTGTACAATAGCCAACTTTCCCTTTGTGAAAAACATTATTTACGTTGACGTAAGATGTATATGTGTTCATTCAGGAAAGTAAAACAAAAAAGACACAATTTCACCAGCTCATTAAAAATATCTTGTTTTTTCCCCGCACAATCCAATCAAATTAAACGGATATTTTTATCAGCCTATGTCTGCTAGCCATATGACTATTCTATCTAAAACAAGATTTAATGAGTTAATACCAACACTAATCTCTCTTCACTTTGGTTTTTTTTTTTTTCTGGTGGGGGTAGGGAATCAACTGAGTTTTAACAACTCATCTGCAAGCCATTCAGAGGTTAAATCTCACGAAATGATTTTGGAATTAACTAGGTCAAAATAGGATCACAGAGAAGCTTAGTCAGAACTCAGTGTCATTCCATCCCTCTCATCTCTAAAGGCGGGTGGGAGGGCGTTGAAAATGAAGGGAGTGGAATTCTTAAGGTGAAATCTCTGGATAAAGTAAAGCTTGGAGGAGGAATGAAACCTTTATTCCAGTGGGATCATTGGTTAAAGAGTCACTCATCTGACAACTCGCCACTGGCGTCTAATATTATCTTGCAAATATATACTTCAAGTATTAGCACAATTTATTAAAATGAAAAATCTTGTTCACTCAATATATATTGAAATATAAAACTATAAGATCGTGCCATCAAGTATCTAGAGCTAGAAGGATAAAACCAAAGGGCAACCTTATCTCAGTTTCTCTGAATCGCTGACTTGTGATATGACCTTGGGCATGTAACTAGATGTCCTTTGCCTTAGCCAGTCCACTGGAAAACTGGGTAAAATTCAGGGACTTCACTCGCAGCTGGACTGAGCTTTCGTATCCAAATCATTTAACTGATGGAGGAACGTGAAAGGGAACAGTAGTCCCAGCTGAAATCATACCTTGCTTCCCAAAGTGACTGAACTTCCACTAAATCTGTCTTACCTTTATGTCTTGCCAGGTATCGACCAAGGAGAATTATAGAACATAGTGTTACAAAGACAACTACAGCCACTATTCCTCCTATAAGAGCGTGGTCAGGTCCGGTCTGTCCAGCCAAAGCATTTGGATCTAGAGGGAGAAGAAAAAGCAACAGTAGTCCTACACAGACAAAAATTGTCTGGAAAATTCACAATACCAAGTTCTATACCGATCACCCTGAAAATAGGGCATTTCCCTCTTTAATATTCAGTGTGGTTATTCCCACTTTTACTACCAGTATCTTATCAACAACACAGGGCTGCTTGTATTCCCAGATTGTTAAAAGCCCTGAGGACATCACAGTTATGAAAAATGTTACCTTATTCTTCTTTGGCAGAGGTTATTAAATGGGAAAGGTTTCTGGGTTTGTCCTCACCATTTTACAACTGAAAACCTGGCCACAGCTATTTATAGAAGGAAAAACAAGGAATAGAGAATTGGGGATCAGATAGCATCAGCAGAATAGTGTCTGCATAATACATAATTTATAGAACTGATTCTCAGTGGGGATCCCTTATATATTCTCTTCCTCTCATTCCTATCCTATTGCACCAGAAATAAAAAGGCAGATAAAGTGCAGCTGTGCCAAGTTCCTCCGCACATGGCTGAGTCTGCATGAATTTGGTCAGATAAAGGCATCGGGCAACCTGAAAGATCATCACTCAGTCTCAAGCGTCAGTTTGCGAATTTACTATGAATATGCAATTAACGCCCAATGTGAGCAAGCTGTAATAGATATAACAATATATAAGCACGTTCATTTTACTAACTCTGCAGAGCACTAGGAATACTGCCAGACTCAAGCTTTCTGTGCTGGTCATTTGCCTGTTCTGTTGCCTGGTGCTTCACAAAAGTTGCAAAGAGGCAATCATGGGAAATGGCACTATTTAGGGGTGAGTAATTCTCTGGAGCTTTTGAACAATGAACCAACAACCTGTGACAGCCGACTAACCTGAAATATGCAAAAGAAGGTAAAAATTCAATCTAAGGATCATGGTAAGATTTCTATTTTAATGAAAATGCCTCTGTTACGAAGTAATAGTAATTCTCTGAAGATGCTATTAACATGTACTGTATGTTGCAATCAGTCTACTCTCGCTGCTTCAAGGGCATTTTCCTTGTAAGAGCTGTTTATATTCTACAAATAATTTGCAAACAACTTCTTTGCTTTTCAAAAGGGAAAGGCAGGAAAAATATTTACACAGAAAAAAGGGCAAGTCTGTAAAGATGATAGAAGGGCCTCTCTGATAATGCCGAGGAGGTGTGATTCCATGACCCCAAATCTACATTCTCCTGACCTGGATCATTGTATAACAGTAAGACGTATAGATACATCTACATACGCACAAGTGTACAGAAATATAACGTTATATAGATGAAATAATCATGCTTTCCCCTCCTTTTGCCTCTCAGGCACACTGAAACTACACGTTCAGGTTTGCTGGAGCACAGAGCGGTACAGCCACTGTTATAGTTCTGCTCTTAACAGTCACTGAACCTGTCAAGCACGACTTTGTCACTTATTGCTGGCTTTCTGAGCTCCCACATCTTTCTCTTCTGGCTGCTAAGAGGACTCTGGGGAAGCTGGCCACAGCACTTCTGTGGACATGACGGCAAATAGTAAGCATTGGCCTCAAAAAAGCTAGAAATACCTGATAAAGTAAGCTGTGCCTGCCCCGTCTTCCGTCTCCATGAACCTGCTGGCATGGTGCTGCTTTTGGCAGTGCTATGCTGAGTACACAGAATCAGTCCAAGTGGACATCGAGTCTATTTTGGCAATTAAACATGACCCCAAGTTCTGTGTGCCAGCAGGCTCGCAGGGAAAAACAAGACAGCTTAAATCTTGCCTCCCCAAAGCAAGAGCTTGGAGCGCGCAGCCATCCTTTCCCACGCCTTGCAGAGGTTCTGTTTTCTGCGGGGAGTAAGGAGGTGACTGCTCACTTGAGAAAATGGAAGATGACAGCTTGCTGCAGGATTGTCAGCCTGCTTGAGCCATCTAGCAAATTCCTCCTTCTGTGGTGCCTGCAGCAACGTTGCTGTAAACCTCCCCCCTGCAGCAGAAAGGCAGCACCCATTTGGGCACTAAGGAGCAGCCAATGTCCCCAAGTGCTGCGTGTGACCTGCAGGAGACGCTCTCCCCCATCACTGGGCCAGGAGGAGCATGAACGTGTTTTCCCACTAAAAGCTAACTCCTGCTAGTACACTAGCAGTAAAATTAAAGAATGAAAGGAGATATTTTAAGGGATAATATACTTCCCGATGCAGAGTATAATCCAGAGAAGGGTTAGCACAGCACTTTATCTAGAGGCATTTTTTGAAAAGCTGATTGCAGTGTACAGCCTTAGCTCAATACCCAGATTTACAACGTATCTCCTCTGTGAGCTTTAATAAACATTATAGATAAAAATACTCACAATACACTGAGATGAATACTCCTCTGTGTTTTATCCTCAGGTGATGTCCTGTATATAGCTATTCACTTCTCCTCTGACATACCTGATGTGACTACATGCAGTGACCTAAAGCCAGCATAAATATAAGGTTCCTACTCATTGGTGTGGATTAATGAGATTCTACTGCTGCTATGGGTTGAAATTTTTAACTTTAAAATTAATTTAGGCAGTGATTGGAATGCAAAGGTAGTATTATATTTCTGCTATAATCTCTTAACCTTGGTATCAAAGCCAGATTATATTGATAAGTATAGTTAGACAAGTTTGTCCATGAAAAAACTTGTGCATGACCTTTTGCCATTATATGACCACTGAACAATTTATTTGTTAAAAAGAAAAAAGGAAAGGAAGGAGAGGAAGGAAGAAATGGAAGGGAAGGAAAAAAAGAAAGATCCTCAAAAGTGGCCAGGGTTTTCTTGGAAACAAGCGTTTTTTCATCTCACAATGAAAATCTGTACAACATAAATAATATTATGAACAGGAAGTGCACCTCATAGAAATATTCTCCTCATAGAAAAATAATGTTAGTATTAAATATAAATATGCTCTACATTATGCATACAGAGTAATGCACTATACTTTTGCCTTTCATGAAATGACCTAAGCCCCACGAGTGAATTATAGATCTGGGGCTATCTATCATCTTATAAATAATTACTATGTCAAAATGTGCCTGAACAGTATCTGCAAGATAGAAATACAGGGGTTTGGAAACTATGCCATTTTGTGTTTTAGGTATTTATACAGTGAACATGTATAATGATCCAAGCGTTCTGGGCATTTGTATTAGCAACTCTCACAAAAGTTCCTGAAAATGCTAAGTGTGTGTTTGGGCACTGACCACTCTACAGTTTGCTTTCCAAAAAACAGAGCAGTCTTCAGATCATTTTAGCTTCCCATTATAAGTTTCGTGGGCTTCACCAGGTAAACTACCCTGCCACGACACACACACACAAAACCAGCAAATGAAATCTTAAGTATGCAATCGTGCAATAAATACTTACAATCCAGCCATTCCATAAAAAAAAAAAAAGATTAGTCTGTTCCTGTTTTAAATGTAGACTGTTTTTTTACTGCATGAGCACAGGCAGCTACAGTAGTTATGGCCTGAAACAGTGAAATTAGAATTTTGTAATCAGACTAGATCTTCTTCGAAGATCAGTTCTTTCTCTTTTATCCTTTAATGAGACTAAGGAAATCTTATAGCAAGATAATGACACAAAAGCTCATAATTCTCTTTTGTTTGTTTTTGTCCTAAATTTAGGAAGCCTCTTCAAAATACTGATTGCTGATGCTGTATAGTTGCACCCATTTTCACCTTCTGGGATTTGCCTTTTACTGTTTGTTCACAAACCTACAGAGATAACACATTTAAAATGACTAAGAGGAAAAAAAAAAGTATCATGCATTAAGAAATGAAACATATCAGATAAATCTTAGCCCTATTAAATAAGTAGAAATGTGCTTTTTATGACCTGATGACAAAGTTTCAGTGTAGAATATTTTTATATGAATACACATGTTAGTTAAGCAGAAAAATTTTGGAACAGTTTTTCATGCATTTGCATAAAGTATATGTTAATTATTCATCTAATTTCTTTTTCTTCCTGCATAAGTTTCCTTCTTACTTATGCATCGCTAACTTGACAAAGCAGGCTGCAGGAAAGGGTTATCTGACCCTTTCCTGAGCAAAGGGAGAACAAGCACATTTGAGAATGCTGAAATGGCATATTTTGGGGAACATATGCTCAAGTAGCCCCCTTTATTGCAGAATTTTATCAATGTGTATTTTTAGCTCAGGTGCTGAAGTTTAAAAAAAGTCACTCTGAGCATGAGATGTACCCACATTTGAGGCATTCAAAATAATAATTTGTTTTGACCATTTCTACTAAAAGAAAAATTGGAAATAAAGGTCTTAATTTGCTGCGGAGCTTAAATAGCTTTCATAAAATGAAGACATATTAAGCAGATGTATTATTCATAAATTACTGTTCCTCAAGGCCGGGAAAAGAACATGGATGTCCCATTTCTCAGACAAGCACTGAAAGCGCCAGCCTACAGTCACTTTTACTGATTTCATGAATAATCAATTTCTGAGGCAAAGTAGAACCGCTCCAGCAAGGGATCCTGAGGCATGGCTCCATGTTACAATTTATGTGGCAGAAAAATCTCTTCAAGTGACCCCTGCTTCTTTACCCATATTCAGAGATTTGTTATCACCCTCAGTACAACTTGCTAATCCTTCATACTTTTGCAAAAACAATTGTTTGAAGGGCCTGGCTCAAAATCAGATCAGTAAAGCAGTGTGCATTTTAGGGTTGGACTACTCAAAAAGCTCAAAAATTAAATAAACTGCTTTGTCATATTTAAAGGGTTGTTGAATTGTTGCAGATGAGGGCAGGGTGAAAATGAGTGGTGGGAGCCAGTGAACGTTTCTGGAGAAAATCTAGCAAGGAACCACAAATCATGAGACAGCTAAATCTGCACTACTTTTAAGCACCTTAGCCAGAGGAGAGTAAACTGCAACAAGCATGGGAAGCAAGTAGTTTTGGATTTTGTGAAGCCCACCAGTGAATGTAAGATAAATTAGAAATATTAGCCCTTGAAATTTCTCTGCATTTCAGCTTAATTTCCTAA